GAGTGCCACTTCCCTGATGGCCAGTACAGGCAGGTCAAATGCATGGAGTGCCACTTCCCTGACAACCAGCACACGCTGGGGACACGCATGGAGCGCCACTTCCCTGACAGCCAACACACGCAAGGAATATGCATGGACCCCAACTTCCCTGACTGGCAGCACACACAGGGCACACACATGGAGCTCCACTTCCCTGACGGCCAGTACAAGCACACGTAGGCTGTCACATACACACCCTCCCTCCAGATTAATTGCGTCTGTAACTCAAGACCCAGTCGACACCAGCCCAGTGCTGCCCAACAGAGCAGATGCACACACCGTTGCCTCTCTACGGACTAAACCCAACAAACACAAACCCCCCCCAACCCAAAGGAGGACCCTCACTGCCCTCAGGGAGGGGCTCTCATAATGAAATTACTTACCGATAAACGACACCAATGAACTTCCCAGGTGCGGACTATCACTTTACATTTAGTTACCAGCGTACAGATTTAGCTCTGTGCTGTACATGCCGTAACAAGCGGCCTGCACTGTGTTTGTACTCCGAAATACACAGAAAGCTGAAAATAAACAGAAAGAACTTCTCCAGTTCAGCTTCTTCTAAACTGCCAATTCGGGGCATTCAGTTGGTGCTTGTTGTTTGTGATGACCCCTATAATACAAGAACACCAAGCCCCTGTGCTGGTCAACGGGAGACCCCACCACCCACAGACCCCTGGTCACACTGCAAGCTGAAACCCAGAGGACATAACCGGCATCTCTCCCAGCATCTCCAAAGCTGGACAGCACAGGAAACACAGACATCTGAATGGAGCCACAAAAAGCCATCAATCACACTGCAAGGCAGAGCCGAGTGAGGGCCTATGGCACATCTGAGACTGATTCAGGGTCAACTGCAACTAAATGTCGTGCTGGGGACCACACTCTGAAGATGACACAATGTTTGGGGGAAAAACACACACAAAGACAAACACACACACACACACACACACAGGCCAGGCTGCCTGCTCCCCCCTCCCCTTCCCGCCTGACCGGGGCCCTTTTCGGTCGCTGGGCCAGGTGAAGCCCCCCAGACAGCCCCCATGGGACCCCGCACCCAGACACTCACTTGAAGCGCCCCTGGCAGTGCTGGCACTGCTCCCCAACCCAGCCCTGGTCGCAGACGCATGTCCCGTTCACACATCGTCCGGAGTAGCAGCTCTTCTCACAGGCTTTGGGCAGGGAGCCCTCGGCGTGGACCAGCAGGTAGAGCACCATGTAGAATAGCAGGCAGCGGCCAGCGTCCCGGAGCCGCCTGCGTTTGGGGAGCAGAGCGCCCCCCTCTGGCGTGCGGCCCATTTTACCCACAACAGCGTTGCTACGGCCCAGTCTCCTCTGCGTGTTACAGGCGTCCAGCTCTTCGGATTTTAATCATATACACAGTTCATCCTAATGAAGTATCCGTGCAATAATAGTTTCCTTTAATGGTTACAGTTGCCTCCTTGTCCGCCATTAAAGTAACCAGGGAAAAACCAAGTGGAAGTTTTTGGTTTTTTCCCCCAGATTCCCGCAGATGGACTAAATTAATCGTCTCTTTTCTTCCAAATGAATCCTGCGGAAAACAGCGACAAAAAAGGGACTGAAATGTGCGGCCGGGGGTCTGCCCGGACCGATTCAGCGGCGGGGGCTGCCTGCGCAAAGACGCATTGTTCGCGGCGTGAGTTCCGAAGCCCCGGCGCCGCTCCACCGATTCTCCGATCCGCTCTCACGGCCCCAGCAGATGCGCTCCAGCAGCCATTTTAAATCCCCAAATAGTTATTCCTGATTAATAAATAATTTTATTTTGATATGAGCAGCCTCGGCGACTGCGGATTTGCGATCGCAAGCTGCTCGGGCGGCAGGAGATCCGTTTGGGAGAAGGTCAGAGGGGGACCGCAGCTGCCCCGGAGACAGCGAGCCTGACCAACCGCTCGGCCCGCTCGGTGTCCGCAGCCCATCCGTCGACAGTCGCTTCTCTCCGCGTTTCGCTCGGGCTTCTCGGCTTTTCAGTCCATCCCGAAGCGGCCGATCCGCGGCTTCGCTGTCGCTGCTGCTGCTGAGCATGTGCAGTGCGCAGGTCTCCGCTTAAAGGGACAGCGACGTGTGTATGCAGGATGCGCAGCCTGCGCCAGTCTGCGCTGCGCAAGGGCTGCAGCATTCCACTACGAGGTGGCAGACTGCGCAGCTCTGCAATTAAATGAGACAGCGGATAATATCGCCTGCGCCTGTCTGCACTGCGCCAGGACTGCGCAACATTCCGCCGTGGGGAGGCATACTATGCACTTAAATGGGACGCTGGATCGTGCAAGCAGAATGCACTGCCTGCGCCTGTCTGCAGTCTGGCAGGCCTACGCATCACTCTGCTACAGGGAGACAGACTGTGCAGTTATGTGTTTAACAGGACGGCAGATCATGCAAGCAGAATGCACAGCCTGTGCCTATCTCTGCTCTAGTAGGGCTGTACAGCCTTCTGTTATGGGGGGCAGACTGCGCAGCTCTGCACTTAAAGGGATGGCACAGAGAACAGCTTAAAGGGGTGGTACACAGAAGGAACACGCCTGTGCTCCGTCCCCTCTGTCAGACACCAAAGTGACGTGGGGTGCAAGTGACTGTGCACTCAGGTGTAGCAAGGTGCCCTGATGCTGAAGCTTACAGCTTAACACACTTAACACTTCACACACTTCCTCTGGACTCTGGTCAGGGGGGTCAAGCTGCATCATCACAGCATTTAATATTTAACAGTCCAGCTGGAAACATCAATACCTGAAAGTGAGTTAGCACCATGGAGAGTGTCTCTGAGGTTTCCACCAAGGCAAGCTAGACATGACAGGTCACGTGACCTTGTGTGGTTAAGTGACTTGTCACATGACCTTGTGTGGTTAAGTGACAGATTGCGTTCAGTTGTCTCTGTGAGTGGAAATAAATTTACACCTAAGGAGACACTAATGAATCATGTGATTAAGTGTAGTAAACATGATGTAACTCGTATGATGAAGAGTGACGTCTATCAAATAGGTAGGGTCTGAGCTCATTCGTGTATTTAAATCAGTCTACCTGCTTGGATCTTGAAATTTTGCATCTCTGGATCCGCCAGTTAACCACCCCTCTAAACATCCCCATGGGGGTGTTGGAAGGTTAGCATTCCCTTGCCCTAACCCACGTTTTAGCCCAGCCCATCACTCTCACCCAGGCTCCTGTTCTCCGTTCAGCTTTGATCCCTGTCCACACTCACTCCCCACACCTGCTGGCCGATGCCCCTGGCAGGAGGGTGCCCCGCGACCCCGTGCCCCAGGGGTTTCTGCACTGGCTCTCTGCTGCCTCTGGGTCCCACTTTCCCCGAGCGGCTTGTCTGTTTCTCACTGACCAGAAGATATTCATATAAAGTGCGAGTGTTTCTGTTCAAGCGAGATAGATGTCTTCGGGCAGAGGCACTGGGGGCTGAATGAGGCTCAGCGAGTTAGGCCTCGGTACCTGTTATCGGAAGGTCGTCTGTTTGAATCCCGCCCTCAGTGAAATACAGGCAGTCCCCAGGTTACAAAAGATCAGTTCCATAAGTCTGTCTTAAATTGAATTTGTCGGTATGTCAGAAAAATACTAATACAGGACACGTTAATAATATTAATAACATAGTAATAATAAATGTAACGACATACAGAGCTGTACTGTACCGCACAATGTTTTCATAAGCGTCACAAAGTAGTGTGTACGTTTGTTATAACCAGCTGTTGTATTCAAAGCGATTTTTAACCACCTGAAAATGGTCCTGGGGCATCAGAAACATGTCTGAGTCTGCGCTCCAACCCCATGCTTCACCCACACCTGGGTGTGCATAAATACATCTGTCTGAAAGAGGGCCAGGGACACACCGACTACAGAATGGCTTTTATCTCACACTCACAGCCCTGGTCCCGGTCACTCGTTAAGCCTCCGCTAAGCTAGCTTCAGTACACTCCCCCATAGTTCTGGGCCTTTGAAATCCCCACAAGGGCATCCTATAACAGCTTGGTCCTATAACAGCTTGGTCCTATAACAGCTTGGTCCTATAACAGCTCGGTCCTATAACAGCTTGGCCCTATAACAGCTCGGTCCATGGAGGCTCCAGCCTCAGTTGGCAGCACTCGGTCACCTAAAATGTTTCTCTACGCGTCGCTCTGTGGTTACGGTCAGTCTACATCCCTGTGGGTTTTTAAAGCATCTTGCTACTTGTGGCTCTGTGGTCACGGTCAGTCTACATCCCTGTGGGTTTTTAAAGCATCTTGCTACTTGTGGCTCTGTGGTCACGGTCAGTCTACATCCCTGTGGCTTTTTAAAGCATCTTGCTACTTGTGGCTCTGTGGTCATGGTCAGTCTACACCCCTGCAGGTTTTTAAAGCGTCTCTCTATGCATGGCTCCATGGTCATGGTCAGTCTACATCCCTATAAGTTTTTCAAGCGTCTCTCTACATGTGGCTCTGTGTTCACAGTCAACGCACCTGTGGGTTTTTATGTGGGTTCCAGTGACAAGCCAGCACTTCCAGTCACAATGGGCACCTTGTGCCCTCGCACAGACGGCCCTACAGACCCCAGGCACTCAGTGTAGCTACAGCATTGTCTGAATGAGGCGTGAGGCATGTCTCTCTGCTCAATGATGCGACAATAGGATCTCTCGCTGGGAGTCCTCTACAGACAATGGCTCTGCAGTCCCACAGTGGGGGGTGGGGGGTGGGGTCTGCACGTCCCATCTCCAGGGGGGCAGGGGTGGGATATGGATGTGACAGATGAATGTCTGTGCTCCCTGTCTGATTGTGACCTTCAAATATTCCTTTACAAAAATCTCATCCCTTAGAGTGTCCCCCAGGACCATCACATCCCTTAGAGTGTCCCTTAAGATCACCTCATCCCTTAGTCTGTCCCTCAGGATCACCTCATCCCTCAGTGTGTCCTTTAGGATCACCTCATCCTTTAGTGTGTCATTCAGGACCATCTAATTCAGGGGTCTCAAACTCCTGTCCTGGAGGGCCAGACCCCTGCACAGTTTTTTGGTTTACCCTCATTTAACACACCTGATTCAACTTCTTGTGCAAATTATCACACAGCTTGAGTTGAATCATTTGTGGTGGAACAGGGAAGGAACTAAGCTACACAGGGCTCCACCCCCCCAGGACTGGAGTTTAAGACCCCTGATCTAATCCATTAGTCTGTCACTCAGGATCACCTCAACCTTTAGTGTCCCTCTCAGGATCACCTCATCTCTTACTGTGTCCCTCAGCATCACCCCATACTTTAGTCTGTCACTCCGGATCACCTCATCCCTTAGTGTGTCCCTCAGGACCATCTCATCCCTTAGTAAGTCTCTCAGGATCACCTCATCTCTTACTGTGTCCCTCAGCATCACCCCATACTTTAGTCTGTCACTCCGGATCACCTCATCCCTTAGTGTGTCCCTCAGGACCATCTCATCCCTTAGTAAGTCTCTCAGGATCACCTCATCTCTTACTGTGTCCCTCAGCATCACCCCATACATTAGTCTGTCACTCAGGATCACCTCATCCATTAGTGTGTCCCTCAGGACCATCTTATATCATAGTATGTCCTTCAGGATCACCTCATCCCATAATTTGTCTCTCAGGTTCACCCCATCCATTACTGTGCCCCTTGGGATCATCACATCACTTAGTGTCTCCATCACATCTGTTAGATGTGAGTATTTTTGGTGCCAAATGGCACTTGGTAGAGTGCTTCAACGGAAATATCTGTCTGGAGACAGCATACACACTTACACAGGTGTAACTATTCAGACATTGTCCACACCTGTGCCACATCCTCCTACCACTGTGCATTCCAGGGACAAACATCCATATTTCTTTTATTAAATAAACTACCATGATGGCAGATATGACAAGCCTGGTGATCCTGGGTGCTCTGCGGATAGATGACAGGGGATGATGTCATTGTCAGCATTGTTTGTTTCACTCCCTATTTCGGTTTGCATTTGTGCTCGTATTCTTGGTCTGTCCCATTCAAATTCACTGCTTTTTATGAAAGTGCTGAAATCGATCTTCCCCTTGCAGATTGAAGGTCGTTCCGTGAACCAAGGCTATGCTCTTGTCTGTAAATGAACTGCTTTTAGCTGGGCGGGGCTTTTGTCCAGCAGACCGGGAAGCCTTCACAGACCACAGCGTTCGGCATTGGATGTGTGTCTGCAGTGTTCATGAACGTCAATGCACTCTTTATTTTCTGAAAAATATCAGTCTGACATCACTAGTGGATGCTGTGATGGAGCTCTGTGAAGTGTCGTATTTGTACTCCCTGATTGACCTGGTCTATCACTCATGCTCCTAGATTGCTATTAACCGGGGGATGGGTTCAGCTTTTTAAGCAGAGTTTCCCTGCTGTCCTTCCATTAACACGCTGCCACTTCTAAATGATCACCGCTCCTTCTTATCAGAAGCAGCCTCTGAGTGTCAGGCAGACTCCCTCTTTGAGCTGCTTAGTGTCAGGCAGCTCCCTCGTACAGGTGGAGTAAACAAACATGGGAGCAGGGAGCCTGCTTTCTGCTGTCCGCGCATCGCATGCCACATGCTGGATCAGCAGGGGGCGGCGATGAGCACAGCCTCCGACTTTCACGCTCTGCTTCTCCCAGAACGTGAGCATCACACTACTGTGACTGGAAGAGGCTGTCCGCGCATCGCGTGCCACATGCTGGACCAGCAGGGGGCGGCGATGAGCACAGCCTCCGACTCTCACGCTCTGCTTCTCCCAGAACGTGAGCGCTACATTGCCGTGACTGGCAGGGTCTATCTGCTCATAGGGGAAGTTAGTGAAGAACTAATCACATCCAAGATAGAAGCCTGAAAGAAAAGCCCTTATATTGACTCTAGGTATGTTTATGGACTGAATCATTGGGTCAGGTCGGTAGGCCAGAGGACATATTCTGTGTTAGATTCTCTCACCTTTTGCATTTCTGAGGTAGAAATCTCACTCTCTCGTTTCTCCAAACAAGAGCAGGCTTTATATTCTGGCAATGATGGACAATGATGGACAGTGATGGACAATGATGGACAGTGATGGACAGTGAGTGCCATTTTGACTTCAAACACATGAAGAAGACACATGAAGGAACACTCTGCTTTGGCCAACAGGATGAGAGATTCACACAGGCAACAAGGCCCCCCAGTACTGTGCTCTTAGCCACAAAATGTTCAGCTTTTTATGCAGACAGGTCTGTGGACACCTGATGTTGTGTGTCAGGCAGATATATGGAAACCTCTAAGGTCTGTGTGGTTTTCTTTGACTCTCCTAGCTTAAGGTGAAATGGAAAAGTATCATGGCCTAAACTTGAATGAGGTACTTGGATTCATTGCCACAATGCTGTCCCCCCCGCCCCATCTCACCCAAACTTGCGTGTGGATAATGACTTTTGCAGTGTGGCCCATGTGGTTTGTGTCCATGTGCTCAGTGTCACATGACATCAGTAATGTCTGCTTTCCTAGAAGTCACTGGGGCTTCACATAGTGCTCTGCAATGCCACCTGCTGGCAGCAAAGAAAACACAGCCAATTAACCCAAAATTAATCTGTGGTGTTACTCCAGAACCAAGCTAATGATGCTGTGAGGCCTCCATAAGCACCGTTTTGCCTGAATGTTTCTGGCAAACAGGCCTGGCCTCAGGCGGGCCTCGGGGACCAGCCACGTCCTGCAGGGTGAGCCTCTGCCTCCCAGTAGTACTTGCTGCGTGTAAGAAACACTGTGTGCTTCTTGCATTTTTGGTTCTTAGGATCCTTACTCATTTCTGCAAATCCTGATCCACCATGTTTACATAAAGCTGTGTAGCAACTTTCTGATCCATACAGTGTGAATATGCTTGACATGAAAGAGTCAGGTTTCAATTTTAAGCCCCCCGACGCTAACTTCATGCAAGACTCAGGGTTACAGGCCAGTCCTCCACCAGATGCTTGAGGCTGCCTGATTGACTCCAGCTGTGCCCAAACTTGTGGCACACACTTACTTTCGCACTGTGGTCAGGTGATCGTCATTATGGGGGACGAGGCATGGAGCCCGTGCAGCAACACGCCCAGATTGGGCCTGGATTCGAGCCACCTTGTGACGCCCCCCAGAGGACACATGTGCATTTTCTCCTTGGGATTGACAGACCAAACTGGGACACAGGGAGGCTCGAGCGGAAGAGAGGCGGCTTCCTGGGGGGGGGAGCTGCATCACCAGGGAAACCAGCTGCACCTCATCAGCGCCCCCCCACATGCACCTCACTGCCACATACTGCCACTTAAAGACACCTATGATCAGACTTATACGGCCGGTCAGGTGACCCTGTGGTGGAGACTGCCCCACCATGCTGGAGTGCCAGGAAGTGTCACATCTGGCATGTCCAAGCAAAACAACAGCAGGAATAGCAGGGCTGTGGTGAATAGGCTCCATTTAAAGAGCTGAAGTGAAAGATGAAAACATCAGTGACACAAGCTGCTCTGCTGTAAGCGATAATGCAAAGCACAGAGCAAAGCACCCCCTCCAGAGGGAATGTTACCATGTTATGGCACCACCTCTGGTCAGGAGGAGTAACTGCGAGTGCTATTTACTGACATAATGATGCAATGCAGTACCTGACAGACCACTGTTGCTGTGAGCTGGCGCGGCGACCGGCAGCGAGGGTGACAGAATGCGGAGTGGCAGGGTGCCAAGCTGGTGAAGCCTGACATATTAGGATGGGGGGTGTGCCCAAACAGCAAGCATACGAGGGAGAGCAGTCGTGGGGAGCTGGAAGGTGCACACGTTTGTCTGCATGTGTAATAGCGAGGCCGCGTTTATTCATAAAGCCAGACGACACTGAGGATGGGAGGTGCACACGTTTGTTTGCATGTGTAATAGCGAGGCCGCGTTTATTCATAAAGCCAGACGACACTGAGGATGGGAGGTGCACACGTTTGTTTGCATGTGTAATAGCGAGGCCGCGTTTATTCATAAAGCCAGACGACACTGAGGATGGGAGGTGCACACGTTTGTTTGCATGTTTAGTAGCGAGGCCGCGTTTAAAAGCCAGACGACACTGATGACGGCAAGCACACACATTCACTTGCCCATTTAATAATGAGGCTGCGTTTGATCATAAAGCTTGACAGCGAGGCTGTGTTTATTTCAGACCAAAAGACAAAACTCAGAATCCACATTGCAGAATATTAACAGAGCACAGCTTGGCCCGAATTCTCAAACTCAAGCAGAAAAATCAGGAGGACGCCGTAAATTCCAGCTCATCACAGCGGCCACACAAAACCCAAAGAGACACTCCTACCGTGTCTGATGCATTTACATTTTATTTATTTAGCAAACGCTTTTATCCAAAGCAAAATATGAGTGAAAAAATAGGGTTAACTAGTTCCTGGACCAATCAGGGGTTAAAGGCCTTTCTCAGGGGCCAACGGTGACATCACTGCTGAGCCTGGGATTTTAACTGGTATTAGGGTAGAGTGTAAACCTTCTGAGCCACACGCCACCTGCAGTGCAGCACGCTGTGAGATCAGACACATGCACACTCGCTGTGCTTTTCGGTAACCCACCCGAACACCTCACCCTCAGACCTCAACGCCAGCAAGGTCAAACAGTGGAGAGCACAGGTTTCCCTGAAAGCAACCATTTCCCAGAAAGCCTGGAATTCTGGGATTTCTGGACATGACAGTACTTCAAGCTAAATTCTTCTCCCTGCTTGGCAGGCCTCCAGCCTCACTCTGTGCTCCAGTATCTGGATGGGGTTCTCTCTCAGGATGTCTGGAGCTACTGGCTGGTTCCTCATGGTCACTCTCTGATCTGACAGCAGGGTAGGGATCCATCTCCATTTCCCCTGAGCCATCACTGGCAGCTGGGAGGCCAGGAGGTTCCTTCAGCGAGTGAGAGATGTGCTCCACAGTCCAATGCTCCTCATGCAGGGCGTGTTCCAGGGTGAACTGCCCCTGCTTGGTGCGTGTCAGCTCCCTGACATGGGCACTTGAGGACAGCTCTGTAGGACACACACACAGCAAAAGCAGGGGTGAATCTCAATACCAAGAATGCAAAGACCGTACTCGTGGTCTTGCGAACTAGCCTTCCAAGAACGATCTCGCAAAAACACGAGGACAAAGGTCACACCAATAGTGGTTTGAGACTCATGTGTTCCAACACGCCCTGATTATGCCACCGTAATATTTTTCGTAGTATTTACAAAGTACACAAAATCTAAATGTTCAGTCTAAAGGACTAATTATTCCTGGTATGATTACATATGCTTTTCCACAAAAAGTTTATACTTAAAATATTAATAATAAATGGGTGTTAACCATTCCAGTCCAGTAGTCTCATGAGCCAAAAGTGAAAATCAGCAGGAAAAAAATCTGACAAGAATAACAGAAACAGTACTGTGATTAAGGTAGTACAGTTATGGTTTGCGCCTTCCTCTGCCTTCATAACAGCACACAATGGATCATGGGATTGTTATCATTTGGCAAGGATGCACCTGATGCATCCTTGATATCTGGGGCAGAGCAAGACCAACATCCAGGGATTTTTACTGTCCTCTGATCTTAGTATTGGAACTGGTCTACGGCAATGGAAGATGACGTAAAACAAGTACGAGAGCACAAGTACGGTCAAGTATGCCTACTCTCAAAAAAACAGGTGCAGATCCCTATAACTTCGATAATCTTCGTTCTATATCAAACCTCCCTTTTATTTCAAAAATTCTTGAGAAAGTCGTTGCCTTCCAGCTTCACACACACCTCAGTAACCATAACCTCTACAAACAATTCCAGTGTGGTTTTCACCCCCTCCATAGTACAGAAACAGCATTATTAAAAATCACCAATGACCTCCTGATGGCAGCTGATTCTGGCCTTCTCACCATTCTCATCCTCCTGGATCTGAGTGCAGCCTTTGACACTATTTCTCACAATACTCTTCTGAATAGATTATCATCCATTGGCATCAGTCATACTCCCCTTGCTTGGTTCACCTCATATCTCTCTGGTCGCACTCAGTTTATTCAACTCAAATCTCACTCCTCACGTTCATTCCCCATTTCAGCCGGTGTTCCCCAGGGTTCAGTATTGGGGCCCCTTTTCTTCATTATTTACATGTTACCTCTCGGCCACATATTTAGGAAATTTAATATCAATTTTCACTGTTGTGCTGATGACAACCAGCTCTATATCTCCTCTAAACCTGGCTACTCCTTTCCACCCTCTTACCTCTCAGAATGTTATTATTATTATATATATATATATATATATATATATATATATATATATATATATATATATATATATATATATATATATATATAATAGATTTAGCCCAGATGGTCAGCTTAGGTGTGCAGTTATCTTAGCATGCAGTACAGATACAGTCATGCAGTTAGCTTAGCAGATAAGCCAAGGTCCAGGCCCAGTGTAGTTGTGCGGCTGGCTTAGCGGATAAGCCAAGGCCCAGTGTAGTTGTGCGGCTGGCTTAGCGGATAAGCCAAGGCCCAGTGTAGTTGTGCGGCTGCCTTAGCGGATAAGCCAAGGCCCAGTGTAGTTGTGCGGCTGGCTTATCAGGATACCATCTAACCAAACAGAAGTCGAATGCAGTGCGTACCTTTACCAAGATCATCCACCAAACTCCTGACATAGAAACCACCACCACATTCAATGTCTGCAGAGAGAAATAGGTGTTTCAGTTAAACTATTAATGCAAATCACAACAAATTATATTATGAATAAATAATTACAATTTAACTGAATACTTCTGTTGTACCTTTGAAACAAACAAAGCAACTTCAGTAGGAACACTCTTTTGTACAAAGGGGTTAAAACAAAAACGAATTGTATGTTCAGCAGGTAATCAGTGCAAAATAGTAAAGGCTTCACAGCCTCTGATTGGCTGAGAAGAGCGGTCACATGGACAGACCAAGGAACACAAGCAGCTGCTGCAGACCTGGAATCAGGCCACAGGGACAGCAACACACCAGCAGGGTGCTTTGGCTAAAGACCAGAGGCTATTAATAGCTGCTGGAAAGGGGAGGGGGGTGTATGGCAGAGTAATGGAGGGGGAGTACATAAACAGGATGGGGGGGAGCGTGTAAACAAGGTGGGGGAAGGAGAGAAGGTAAACTGGGGAGCGTGTAAACAAGGTGACGGGGGCGTAGTGCACAAACAGGGTGGGGGGGCACGTAAAAAGGGTGGGGGAGAGTATTATACTAATTTATTTGTGAGAAAAGAGGGTCAGCCAGTCTCTGGGGCAATTCAGAGTTAAGGACCTCAGGGGATTTGAAGCAACAACCTTCCAATCACAGGCACAGTGTCCAGTCCCACTGAGCCACACGCCGCCCCATCTAATAATCTGTAATAATATAATAGAACCCTCACACACAGGCGCACACAGACGCACGCAGGCACACAGGCGCACGCAGGCACACAGGCGCACGCAGGCACACACAGGCGCACGCAGGCGCACAGGCGCACGCAGGCGCACGCAGGCACACGGAAGCGCACGCAGGCACACGGAAGCACACGGAAGCGCACGCAGGCACACAGGCGCACGCGGGCACACAGGCACACAGATGCACACAGAAAAACGATAGGAAGTGGTGGCTTAGTGGGATGTGCACTTGTAAGTGATAGATTGTAGGTTCAAATCCCTGAGCAGCAAGGCACCCTGAGCAAGGTACCGCCCCCAAGCACTGCTCCCCAGGTGCTGAATTAGCTGCCCCCTGCTATGTCACATTGTCACATATGGGTTAAATGCAGAGAACACATTTCATTGTTGTGCACTGTGTGCTGTGGTGTGTCAACAATGACAATTAATCACTAAATTCTAAATTAATTACTAAATTCTTTGTGGGGACTCTCCATTCATTTCTATCGGGACAACTCTAATCCCAACATAACGAGCTTAACCCCCACCCAGCCCTAACCTCAGCCATAAGTAACCAAGCAAAATACGAGACTTTTGGCATTAATAGTTTTTTGATTACATTTACAGGTCTTTGTGGGGACCTGAAAAATGGTCCCTACGACATCAAAATAACATTTGGTCTCCACGATGTAATATAAACACAATCCACACACACACTCACAAGCAGTGCAGGGTGATGCTAACCCAGGGTAAAGAGGGGGGGACTGAAGTCCTTCAGGCTCAGACGGTGCACGGTCACTGGCCGAGCCGGCTTTGCTTCCACCTTCTGACCCTGCTTTAGCAGGACAGAGAGTCGCTGTCCGTTCCTCTTTAGGGCTGAATATCTGAAAGGATACGGGACACAGTCACAGGGGTTCACTGCACCCCGTCCTTGCTCCCCGCCCTGCCCCTTTCACTTACAGCGGTGGGACCTGCATGATCTCTCCAGTGAACTTCTTCAGCTTCTCTTCCATGTCCTCTCTGGTGATGTGCTCTGCACAGATTCAGATAGTGGGTGGGGGGTTCCCTGTGATCACCGGCCCATTCTGCTTCTGGGATCTCATTAGAGTCCAGACAGCACTCCATCAGTCAGCCACCGCACCCTCTGCTATTACTGTTGTCATAACAGCTGACGAACCCCCCGCACATAGGCTCACCAAAGCTGTTCTCCTGGGTGACAGTTCCTGTGGCGTCCAGCGTGTCTGTGGCCTTCCCAAGCTCTCCTACAGCACTGTACTTCTGTGGACAGACCAGGGAGTTTGCTCAGTGGCAGCAAACCCTGTAACCACAGCATTCAAACGTCTTTCTAATACTCTTCACTTCTGAGCCGTTACTACAGAATTCCATGCAATACTTCCCCCAAGATCCTTTGCCCAGTTACTGTTATTAGGGGTTAACAGTACACAAAAATCATGGTTCAGTATGGACCTCGGTGTTCCACATGGTTTGGTACGTTTTCGGTACGGTGGGATGTAAAAGAGTTACTTCTCTTATTCTTTATTAAACAGTGGTTTACCGAACAAAGTATGACTGTCTTAAATAAAACGCCTGTCAATACTGCAGCAACCTACTGATAAAAAGTAACATTACTTAAAAGTAAATCAAAATAAACATTCTCTCAAGTAAATAAAAATGAAATTAATGTCCATTAAGGTGCACATTAACGGTACTTGATCTGTACTGTATTCACATTAGCAGCTTTCAGCTTCATATTAGAACTGTGCAACAAAATAATGTCTCAAAAAACATAAAACAAATATCCATTATGTTGCAGCATTTAAAAAATACCTGTGCTCTACTAGTATTCACATTAACTTCCATCTTGACGTTAAAATGTACGCGCGCATGCGTAGTGGCGCTGCTTCACCCGCCCCTTTCCAAATGTTGCTCGGGGGAAACACAAACACACAAAGGTTCCGCACTTGCTGCTTTCGTTCCGTACATATGCGTACCGAACCGAAAGACCCGTACCGAAATTTTTCGGTATGAATACGTGTACCGTTACACTCCTACTGTTTATTGTATATTATTTATTGATATTGAATTAATAAAGTATTTATTCTGTCTTTCAAATCGCATATTTGGTCATCCTAAAGCGGATCAGTTCTGTTGTTCTGAAGCTCTACTCACCTTGGAACCTGTCAGCATGGTGGTTAACATTTTGGTCCCGCTGCCAATCCCAACCACTATATGGAAAAAAATAATTCTCAGGGACAGAAATCTGATTAACCACTCCCGTAAATTGAGGCATCTGCCAGGTGAAGAAACGCCTGAATTAGTCTCTTGGTTTAGATCAAAGATACCTGCAGCTGCACCCAAAGGCTATTTCACAGCAAGCAAGCCCTAACGATAGACACACGTACTTCCGATGGATGTTCCTCCAGACATTATTTGGATGCCTCGTAGCAGCTTGGTCTTTTGACAATGACAATCTGAGGATTTCAATGACCCACCATGGAGGTTCTAGTGTGCATTCCCCATAACAGAACTACAACTACGTCAGATAATGACCATATCAGACCAGAGCGGAACTCACCAAGAACGCCAGAGGCAGCGCTGTCCAGCGTCCCACCGTGCCCCATTTTAAGCAGTGCCTTCTTCCTCTTGCGGGGGTTCTGATGCTTCTCACCCACCTCTGTGACATAAAACTCCAGATAAGGATGCCTTTCTCCCTCCATCCTGCGACGCTACACACATACATCATGCTTACATCTAAATCGACAAGTTGAAACCCCACTGCTGTCTTTCACACGGGCCTCTCACAATGAACATCACTTACCTTGTAGAAGTTTCTCCTTCAGCCTATTTAACACGTCGGCCGATGTGGGTCCTTGTTTTTTATAAACTGCAAAAAGTCCATTTAAAGACTGCAACTTGGACAGCGGAGCTCTTTGAGACACTGTGCCCGTCACCACCGCAGCCATGCTTGCTGTAGCGGCGCTAGTGTATGACGAAAATTATCGTTGCTGGGGATGCTGGGTATTGTAGTTCATTACTCTAAAATTGAGTTACAGTTTGTCAAATTACGCTTATTTTATAATTCAACAACTATTTTCTCTGATTTGTTTAATTAATGTTGTTTTACAAGCGCTTTAGAATTATTCGGTGCTTATTCCCCTCTATAAATCGAAGATGGTTCACCTGGTCCAACTAGAAAATAGATAATATAAGTGTTTCGATTTTCGACATTCTCCCGCACGGTGGTTAAACCCGCTCTCATCCGTACATTTCGTCATTTCTGACAGTTTGCTTATCTCTGCCCAGTGAGTTGCGCTGTAGGCTCACGCTCGGAATGCTGTTGGTTTGATTGCTATCTACATGGCATTTGTAATTTCTCATCTTTCTGCGGGTTTCCCTCCCATATCCAAAAACCTGATGTTTCCAGGGAAATTCTCCAGACTAACTGCTCTTTTACTGAATAGAGTTATGGAGGATAAATGGAAAAATCTAGACGCACAATAGCTCTAAATTCATATGAGAGATCACACTGTAAGCAAGTCCATCTTCCAGCTTCCTGGTCTGGGTCACAGGGATTCTTCTTTAGCTGTCTAGTGGACCAGCAAGCAACAGTTTGGAGTACACAGGAATTTGACCTGGTGATACAGTGCGGAAGAAATTGAGAGTAAAAATTAAAAGGTTAAAAATAGGTTATCACTGGAGACTAATGTCGAGTTACTGTGGTGTGAGTCCCGCCAATCAAAATAAATGCTAGGCGTCCTGTGACGTGTCCTTGCTCCTCCTGGCCCGGTCTGGTTCGCCTCAGAGCCCATGTGATTGTCTGTGCTGAGGGCAGCAGCTCTCACTATAGGCAGAGGTCAGCCCCACCAGACACACACCCTAAAGCCACTGCCTACCCACCATGTTTAGCAACACCAACCGTCTCACAGGATATCACTACATACAAACCTACTACAGAACTGCTGCCGCCCCCCCCGCCCCACTGGAGTTACTGAGTTATAACACAAACCCAAACACAAGGAGTTAAATGCTTTAATGCATCAGGGAAAAATTAACAAGAGCAAAACCCAAACGCCATCCGTTATGAGGGCTGGACGCACACTTTACCAAGGGTAGCACAGTTTTCATTGGCCAAGGCAAAATGACGACGTAAGGTGCAGGAGTCAGGGTGCTCCGTGGGGGGCAGGAAGACAGTGAGGGTGGGGCACGCTGGCGCACACTGACAGAGGACATGGGGCGTGCTGACAGGAGACTTGGTGGGATACAAACACTAGAGAGCTGTGATGCTGGATGTATGCTAGCACCACCATCTGTGCCCAGCAGGGGTCAGCACTGCAGTTTCAGTCTATGAGACAGTCAAGGTCTCCGTCTCTCCATGCTGCACTAACAGGATGTTTACAGCGAGCTGAATCTACCCCCCTCAGACGGACATTCCTCACTAACCTACTTTTGCATCCCGTTCCCCATGAGAAATTAAAGGCTGTGTATGTTCCTGCCCGCTGCTCCAATCAGACTCAGTGCAGTTTCAATGTGACTCTCAGCCTGTCAGTCTCATGACGAGCCAACTCTGCAATGCCTCCCAAGAGCAGTGAGCAGTGAGGAAGAGGAACTGCAAGGAAGGTCCAAGGCTGGCGATGGCGAAAGCAGAGGATGCACTCAGGGAACATGAGAGCTCCAGCAACGGGAACCTTTGTATGACTCGCACCAAATGGGGGAGTTCCCAACACGCAGCAGGTGGCCTTCGAGGGAATCGGCGATGATGAGACCAAACACCGTGCGTTTGACTGCGGCGAGACGAGGCGGTCGGTGACATGGAGGCTTGACGTGTAAAAACGCAGCGACATCGGCTGGCTCCTCCTGCCCTTGGACCGGAGACTTAGAATTTACAGGAAGTGTCAGTATAAAAACAGCATGAGCAGAAACAATCACGAGCTTTACATATGGACCATGGGACAGAGGCAGGAGCAGCAAGTCAGTCCCACACCCCTTATGTTTCAGTTCACAAAGGAAAGGTATAAAAAGAGACCTAATGTACAGCAATCTGTACAGCGTCTGCGCGGGATCACATCTGTGCAAATGTCCAACACTGGAGCTCTGTTAATATTAAGACAGCTGAAAGTGGAATGGGCAGACAGAGACAGCCCCGACACACCCGGTCGGTACAGTGTGCCCCCTGCTGGGAGGGGAGGCACACGGCCAGCTCAGAACTTCAGCTGGCCATCTCGATGTCTCCCCACTACGAAACACTATTGTTGGCAAGAAGTAGAGGTTCCACAGGGCAAAGTCCACAAAATATTATCAGAAAACTCAAACCCCAAGAACTGTAACTGACAAACAAAAAAAACAGCATATTTGCTTACCGTTACAGAAACACAAGGTTATGAATGACGTTTGCTGTCTGTCCTTATAAATAAAGCATGCTCTGTAAAAAGACAATAATAAAACATGTACACGTAATGCTCACATTATGCCCACTGTGAAGGCACAGCACGAGCACCCCCGCATGGTGGAGGACTGTACTACACGACACAGCAGTAATGGATGGAGGGGTTGCAATCAGATACACTTTACAGAAAACAATGTTAAAAGCATGACATGATTGCAATATCTGGACCGGCACTGACCATCAGAATATCATGTCACCACATGCCCCCCCCCCAGACACAACCCTTGCCGCTTCCATGTCCGTCCCCGCGAATGACAGGCAAACCTGAGAGCCGGAAAGATCACACCCACCAACATGTGTCCACCCAACGTCACGAGAGGGTGGGGCCACAGCCTGCCCCGGGGGACGAAGCGGTGAGGGGGGGGGCGGCAGAACAGGATCAACAGCAAAAAACCACTTTCATCACCTTCTCTCCCACGAAAGTTAAAAGGCAGAAATATGTTATCTGAAAAACATTGAAGCTTTAGACGCTGACTGAGATGTGCGGCTTAATAATAACATTAAAAACAAATGAACAAACAAACAAACAAACAAACAAACAAACGTCTTTTTACAAATGAGAGTTCTGACGTGTCCGTTCAATGCACATAAAGTGCAGAATCACATGCGACACCGTTTCTGCCGTGACGCCTTCTTCATCCCAGCGTGGGTGGGGTTACGCCACATCATGGTGCGTCGACGCGCCCCACCCCCTCCCCGTCCCCAGGCCCATCCAAATTGTGGCAGAGCACAGGTACAGCCTCATGGCGACGTGGAAGCATGGAACTTGACAAAGGCGACGGCAGCCAGCTCCTTGCAGAACTCCTCTAGGACGATCACACCCTCCAGCAGGGTCATGTGGTCGATGCTGGGCGGGGCCACATACACAGGCACATGTGAGCACATCCGAGGAGAACCCGCTTTTAAAATGAGAGGAGGACACTGAACCCCACCACAGAGCTCCCAGAAGCAGCACCGAGAGACTCACCCTGCGCCCTCCAGCTCCAAGCCCAGTAGCCTCTTCCTGACCAGCAGGAGTTTGGGGGTGAAGTCGGGGATGCGGTGGATCCTTAGCATCAGATCTCCCACCACCTGGAGCGGGAGACACACAGCCCCATGGGGGAGGGGGGCCCTTGTTATACGGAACTGCAGCCCTGAGGACAGGGACATGCCTCCACATGCACACCGCACCTCATGTGGTGCCCTGTGCCGGCAGGACCAGATACTCAGCTAATTAAGGGAGAAGAAACTTGCTCATGTACATACAGAGAGACAGACATAAAGGCAGACAGGCAGGCAGAAAGACAGACAGGAAGAGACAAAGACAGACAGACACATATACAGAGAGACAGACAGGCAGAGAGATAGGTAGGCAGAGAGAGACAGGGAGAGATCTGCAGAGAGAGGCAGGCAAAGAGAGAGAGACAGACACAGATGCAGGCAGGCAGAGAAACGGGCAGAGACAGGCAGAGAGACACATGAAGAGACAGACATACATACATAGAGAAACAGACATGCAGAGAGACTGAGGGACAGACAGACATACAGACTTACAGAGAGGCAAACAGGCAGGCAGGCAGACAGACAGAAACAGGCAGAGATATGCAGAGAGAAACAGGCAGAGAGACAGACAGGCAGAGAGACAGAGACAGACAGGCAGAGAGACATGAAGGAGACAGGCAGAGAGACATGAAGGAGACAGGCAGAGAGACATGAAGGAGACAGGCAGAGAGACATGAAGGAGACAGGCAGAGAGGCAAGCAGAGAGAGACAGACAAAGACAAGTGGAGACACAGGTAGAAAGGCAGGCAGGCAAAGAGACAGATTAACTTTCTCAATTTTTGCCCCCGCCAAACAGAGGGTGTTTACCCGGACTATGACGGAGAAGAGGGAGCGGCAGGCGGGGGCTAGGTTGATGTAGGGGTCCAGCAGGTACTCGTGTAGGTGAGGGTGGGGCAGCAGGGCCAGCTTGGACAGCACAGACGTCACCTGCAGGTTCACGTCATACGGCTGCAGGGAAGGAAGGGCGCAGACACACAAATCAGGCGGGTGACGCTCCGCCCCTCTGCGGCCAGCAGCCACCCACCCGATGCTCTGCCCACCGATGATCTGCCTACCTGGTCCAGTATACGGCCCATGCGGTCAAAAAGAACCTTCAGGAAGTGGCCCTCGAAGAAGGGCCCATCCTGCTCACACTTCTCCAGGGGCTTAGGCGTCCCCAACCACTCCCAGCGTACGCAGATGCCACAGTAGTCCCTGAACTGGGGATGCAGAACACGGTAATCAGGCTCTAAATGTCACACACCCCCAGCCGTGACAAGGGGCTCTGAACGTCACACGCCCAGCTGTGCCAGTGGCCTCAGTACCTCACACCGGTGGGCCTCACCTGTCGGTGTGCATCTCTCAGGTACGTGTCGTAACCGGAGCCCTCCACCTGGTAGGACGATTTGGCCTCTTCGGGCACCAGGCACAGGAANAGAGACAGACAGGCAGAGAGACAGACAGGCAGAGAGACAGACAGGCAGAGAGACAGACAGGCAGAGAGACAGACAGGCAGAGAGACAGACAGGCAACCTCTTCATTCTTAAAAGAACAAAGCCCCAGCTGAAGAGAAGCCGCTCAGCAGACGAACATACAGGTTAGCGTCTCACAGAGCACATGGACACCCCCCACCCAGAACACCAGCATGATCCTCAAGACGGCCATACCAAGGCCATCTAGGGATGAGCTTAGACACAATGTCTGCCACAGACATTCCCATGTGGGCATGGAAGATAAGCATAGACGAGTCTGTGCTAAAAGCCAGAGCAAGTTTGGCGAGAGGAACCCAACGCGGCGGCAACGAAGGACGAACATCAAACCTACATCTTTGCGATTAACCACCCCCCCAAAAAAGAAAGGAAGGAAAAAAATAATAATAATTATCAGCAGCAGGCACAATCACAAACAGAACTGCTATCAGTGTTTGATCTTGTCCAGCACTTTGGGGGGGGGGGGGGATACACAGTTCAACCTCCAGTACTGCATGACACTTTGCAGAAAACATAAGGAGAAGTTGGTACAGAAATGCAGTCTGATCGTCAGTGAATGTAGGACAAGGCTCAGAGAAGTTCTACACAGCCAAAGAGAAATGGACCCCTTCCCCCCACCTGTCAAAAAGGCAAAACAACCAACACCTCTTAAATGAGGAACCCAACCAACATCTCTTAAGTGAGGAACCCAACCAACATCTCTTAAGTGAGGAACCCCACCACGAGAAAAGGCAAAAGTGTGACATTATGGGGGCGTACGTAGGACTGGGGGGGCATGGGTGGGGGCGAGGCAAGCTACACTGGGGCCTACGCCAGGAACTCCTCCTGGGCCTGCGGCCGCTGGTAGCTGACGTTGGGGTGGTTGTGTTCATCCAGAGAATAACTGCCCTCGTCCTTCTTCTTCATGCGGTAGACCATGAGGGATACCAAGAGGACGGCGAAGGCCAAGCCCACCACGCCTCCGGAAATCACACCTGGGGGGGGCAGAACCAGAGATGGAGTTAGCTATATAATTGCGTGGAACCCCCAGCTTGCATTTCTGGGAGCCTGCAGCTTGCATGGTGGGATTCCCAAAGCAAGGAGGCGAGATCTGGTTCACTGTGGTGCTCAAACACAAGAACAGTTTGGTACCAAGTCGACATGTTTGGCAGAGAACATGAACACTGGTCCAAAGGCTGGATTTTGTTATCACACACAGCCCTTCATCTCAAGGGGATGAACTCAGCCCTCAAGCCAAGCAAAGAGGAAAGCCATTAAGGATGTTAGGCTGCCCCAGAAGAAGCAGACCTGACCAAGGAAGACCAGCTAAACGGCCGCTTCCGCCCAGACGGACCGCTCCCAAATCAGCGTGCCGGCCAGGAGAGACCTACCAGCAAGGACCTCCTTCCTGTCCAGCAGCGACTGGCTCTGCCCTGCTGTCTCGTGGAACTGCTGCCCAAGATCGTCCTCGATGACGATGTCAGTATCTCTCTGGAAGACAGCGTTAAGAAGCCTCAAATGAATTCCTAAACATCAACATCATACCTTTAAGTTGAATTCATCATCATAGAAACATCTATACGTCTATTTCAAGTTAAAATGTGACTTGTGTACAATGATTGCAAGGCAACACCCTTGTTAGACGAAAAGGCATCTAACTCATGCTACCTCCTACCACTGCTAGGGCTTAGCAACACTGCTGCTGTCAGTAATGTGCTTTTCTGTTTAGGTTTGATCAGGCAAGGTAGACCTCTCTCACCTCTGGCTCACTGCCCACAACGTGGATCCTGCCCCCCCTTACAATCAGCTCCTCAGGCACTGTCGGGAGCAAAGTCGGAGTGGTGGCCAGAGAGCCCAACGTAGGGACGTGCCCAGTGAAGCTGGGGATCTTATCCTGAGAAGGCGGCACTGGAGTCGGGGCTGGCTGGGTCTTCTTGGTGGGAGTGTGCTCAGATTCAGGCACGACTGGAAGCTTCAGCATCACCGCTGTGGTGTTGACGTGCATCACAACGGTCGTGGTTGGGATGGTCGTCGAGTGGGATGGAGTAGCGGCAGTCTTATTAAGGATGCCAACACCAGCTTGAGGCTGGGTCTTCGTGGGGCGGGACGTGGAATGTTCTTCGGGGGCATCGGGACTGGCTGAAGTGGTCTGCCCATGAAGGCGGTGTTCAGTCACCACACCCCCCTCTTCTGGAGCTCCTGCAGTCCGGGGGGTGGTTACCACAGCACCAGCTGCAGTGGTGGGTGAAGCCTGGGAGGTCACTGCCCTTTCTGGATCACGCATGAGGACTTGATTCCGCTTCGTTGTCGTAGAAACGCGTGTGGTGTCCAAGGAGGGTGTTGATGAGGGAACAAAACCTAAGTCCATGAGATCTAAAAGGAAACAAGGTTTAGTCAAAAATAGAGCTTGAGCACATGAGGCTTTCAGTCTACCAGAAGAAAATGGCGCCCTTACAGCTGCTTCCCCACACCTGCCCGCAAAAAAACAATGTGCTATGGCAAGTCAGGCAGGGGCCAGAGTTTAGAGGAGGGTCAGCCCCCATATCCAGCAGAGCACTGATTAACTGCAAGATGCTTAACAGATCATCCCTCTTTACAAAGAAGGATAAGAAGTCTTTATATTACTATACCACCGCGGTAATTTGCTGCACTAAAAAGGAGAACCATTTATAAAACACTTAATGGCTCAAAATTTGCCTTCACAGCATCTCTCCTGAAAGGGCTTCACAACCCAGGCTGCTCAGTCCTGCCACACAGCCTAAAACTAAACGGTTAGGTCACACAATGACAGGAGTGGGTGGGGGGGTGGTGTCCATACCATCGTCGCCGGAGCCCGAGCCGGAGATTTCCAGGTCATCTCCTGATGCATCCTGGTCGTCTGGAGGACTCAAGTCCTGCTGAAAGAAAGGGAGACCATCAGCTCTGTGGCCCGAGGGCAGTGTGGTCGGATCCCGGGTGCAGGGTCCGTTGTAGGGGCACATGAAGGAACACCAGGGACAATGAGCAGGATCAGAGCTCTACAAAAGTAATGCCAGTCGGTGAAAAGCGATACTACTGAATCAGGGAGCCGTCTGGACAAGCAGAAGTCGGTTTTATCTCTTAGAAAAAAAATGCGGTTCTCTTTGAGAGGGAAAGAACATTTAAAATTTTGGCCCACAGAGCCGCCCTGTTAGATAACTAAAATCGACTCCGGCGTGAAGGTCTGGGCTTGCACTCCCGTTCAAAGGAAGCAGAGGCAATTCACACATCTCACGTTCCCACGGTGGGAGACGACGCGGCGTTGGCGTGCGGTTTATCGCATCCCTGACAGTTGACTCACAGGATAAACGGGCCCAGACCATTGCAGACGCCACCCAAACAGAAGGGTGGCCTACTCCCACATGAGGAGCCCCCACACGGACACCGCCACAGCCGCATTTATTTATTTAGGACCCTATTATTCAAATCACGGCCCTCGAGGTCCGAGCCCTGCTGATTTTCCAGCCTTCCTTTACCTGTCAGTCAGGTGTGAAGCCTCTGACCAATCAGAAACAGTACGTATTAAACAAACTACCTGGGAGAATTGAAAACAAGGCCTGGATTTGGAATCATGGTCCAGATTTGAAGAACCCTGATTTAGGAGATTCTTTTGGCCAAAGTGACATAAGGCAGAGTAAGACAGTCCCTGGAGCAATTGGGGATTAAAGGTCTTATTCTGATGCCTGATGGGGATTTGATCCGGCGACCTTCTGACCTCAGGCATGACATCTCTCGACACCCTCCTGACCCGCCGAGCCGCACACTGCCCCCATTTTGAAAACCCAGCTTCACAATACTGAGCTCCAGCAAGGCTTGGACTTTGTAGAGCGAGATGTTTGCTTGATAAATATTGTGTTGCCGTCTACAAACCTGGGGAGGGGGAAAAAAGTGACCGAACAAAGGAACAAAACAGCAGGATAAAAAGACGAAGGCTAGACGAGTTCCCGACTCCTAAACAAAGGTCCTTTGTGGTGTCGTGTGCAGCAGCGTGTAAACCCTGCGCCAGCAGACATCTCCGGCATGAAAAATGTTATGTAGAAGGTCTCCTAGCCTCTCGGCATAGGGCACATACCTGCCAGTCATTCAGCTTCAGCACAAGGTCACTCATTCCCCCACTACTGTCCCACACAGACACACCCCAACTCTGAAGGACATCTGCCAGAACTTCTCAGATGGTACCTGCAGCACCCTCAAAGTCACCCAACTGAACAGCAAAGGGTGAAAATCTTTAACATGAATCTCCATGTTGCTAATAGTTGGTATGTTTCCAGGCAAAGTGTTCCAAGATGCAGCCACTGCTGGCGGGAGGGGGGCACATTCCTAGCCATCTAAGGTAAGGCCTAGGTGGTGGGCTGGGAGCAAACCTCCTCCAGTTTGTTTAAACTCGGACCTCACAGCTTACGGCCCGGCCAGGAGGCCGGCCTTCCATGGCGCCGGGGACCTCACAGCTTACGGCCCGGCCAGGAGGCCGGCCTTCCATGNAGCCATCACAGGTCAGCTGCACATCAACTCTTCTTCTAACTTCGGTGACATTTTCACAATGAAAACTAAACAAAAAAAAACTTCACTCTAGGTCTACATGAGGGCCACTGGAGGCGCTGTGCAGTTAAGTCACTCACAAGCTCTCACAAACTGAACAGCACGTATACTGCACTCTGCCCAGACCTGTTGACTATCTTGTGGACCTCCGTCTTCCCATCAGGCTTTGCGTGGTCTGGCGACTGAGGCGGCGAGGAGCTGAGCCAGTCCGGGCTGGAGAGTCTGTTGTCTGGGGAGAGGTCTGTGAACAAAGGGTCCTCCTCCAGGTCCCTACATAACAGCACAGCATTTCATGACTTAATGCATGAACACAGTACGCATTCACCCAACACAGCCTTACCTGTAATCCCCATCCTAAAACGGCACGTTACCATGCCGATGCAGGAGGGCTGAGGCGAGATATCAGTAAAACACTGTACTGTGATTATGAACATTCATATTGTCATTAATTTGAATATTCTCTCGTGATATAGCCTAAACACTTGTCTTAGACAGCCGTGTCTGCACGTGTCAATGTAGGCACATATGCATTAGCATTTAGCGTATTTGGATGAGGATGTGTGTCACACAGAAGGCGACACAGCTGTGACTGCGTCCCTGCTAACAGCTGGAGGCGTTAGCCTGACTTACACAGCATCAGGCAGCTGCCCGTTCTCCAGTGCCTCCCTGTCCTCCTGTGGCTTGTTTTCCAGGTAGCGCCGCTCCTCCAGGTTTCTCAGCACCAGGCTGTACACCACGTGCTCACAGGGCTTCTGCAGCAGGTGCTCGAACATGCGCAAAGTCATGATGCTGATCTGTCCAGCGGGGGGCGAAAGAGAGCGGGACACAGTGAGGCTCCACGTTAGTTAACCGAGTCTCAATTTTTAAACTTGTGGTGCTGAAACAGTTTCATGTAAATACTGCCTACACACAGCATTAAGTTTAATATTATGACACTTAATTTCTGCCTGGATACGCATGCCCAGAACCTGGCCTCTGACGGACCTCATCAGACAGGTGGTCGCAGTGCTCGATGAGCCTGTGACGCAGTGGGGGCCGGCCTGCCCCGTCGCGGGTCTCCGCCTCCCGCTCCTCCCCCAGCAGAAAGTACACCGTCTCCTGAAGCAGTGCTTCCGAACTGATCTGCCTTATGATTCGGGTCAGCAGGGCCGTGGAGGTCAGGATGCCCATCTCTGAGCTGTTGGGTCAAGGGTCACATTGGCGATGTCAAAGGTCAGACTGCCATAGGATTAGGGTTCGGGCTGTACGTAAGAAGACTCAGAGGTCCAAGGGTAAATTTTAAAACTGTTCAAAGTTATAAACGAGTGAGGTCAAGCATGATTCTGAGACATCAAAGTTCAATGGTAAACATCATGGTGCGATAGTTACGTTTGCATGAGCTGTGGTTCCAGGGTGGGCACCAGAAACTTCTGTCTGACAGCCCGGGCCAACACCACAGCCGCCGTCTGTCCAAAGGAGCAGCCTACTTTCAGAGCATGCTGGGAAATCACCTCAGTGCCATCACACTCACATAAGGATCATCTCCAGAAGACATCTCTGTGTCCAACATGCTGCTGCTGTCTCAATGTGCAGGTTTGCAGTGTTTCCAGCATGCCGTTGCTGCTTCCGTGTGTGCAGCGTGCCGCCACTGCCTCGGTGTGCGGTACTACGTGTGTGCAGCGCGCCGCCCCTGCCTCAGTGTGCGGTACTCCGTGTGTGCAGCGTGCCGCCCCTGCCTCGGCGTGCGGTACTCCGTGTGTGCAGCGTGCCGCCCCTGCCTCGGTGTGCGGTACTCCGTTTGTGCAGCATGCCGCCCCTGCCTCGGTGTGCTGTTTCTGTGTGTAGGTGTTCAGTGTGCCATTGCTGTGTTAGTGTGTCTAGCGTGCTGATGCTGGTGCTGTATACGGGTGCATGGTGACAGTTCTGGTACCGTCTGAGCCTCCTTGATCAGCTGATCACAGTAGTCCAGCCAGGACAGGAAGGAAATGAGTGGCCTCTTGCCTGTGAAGGCCGTGGCGTCCTCCTTCACGCTGTAGGCATCCAGCCTGCCGGGCGATATGGGGCACACCTCAGACCCAGCACAAGACCACCGATTCTCAACGAGGGACACAGCTCAGGGCAGAGCAGAGTCAGGATCAGCCCCCCCCCATACACACCCCCAGAGCAAGTACCACATCCACTTACCCCCAGTTGACGGACTCCAGGGTCTCAATGTCCAGCGGGTCCATGGATGGGGGCAGCGCCCGGTAGAATACGGAGAGGCGCTCGGCCAGCAGCTGACACAGGGCTGTGCTCTCTGTCAGGCAGCGGGCGGCTGCCGGCTCAGGAAGGCTGGCTAGCAACATAAGGCCCTCGCAGGCCTTCACCACGATCCGGCCGTCCTGCCAGGGAGAGCGGTGCACTGTAAGTACTGCCAGCTATATAACTATATAATCATCCTGTTGACGCGGTCAGTACTGCTGGCTACATAACTGCCATTTTAGAGACAGTGGGGACAGAGTCAGTACAGTACAGAGACGGGGTCTGTACTGCCGGGAACACTGACCGGGCTCTTGGTGAGGTTGAGCAAGGAGTTGACGAGGTTGTAGCTGTGGTTCTGGTTGGCCTGGGCACTCTGCTCAGCAGCAGCTGCCCCGTTGGCTTCCAGTCCTGGCTCCCCCACTGCAGTTGCCTGGCCGGTGTCAGGTGAGGTGGCCCCGGCCGCGTCCCCCCCCAGCCCCCCGCACTCAGATGCCCGGGTGGCTCCCACCTTTGCCTTGTTCTGTTGTTCATGTGCAACATAATGGACATGAGGTTAAACCACCAACATACACGCAAACCAGCATGAAGCAGCGGCCCTGGGGACAGGCTTTCCCCCCAGGGCCGGCGTGCATCTCAATGACACTCAGGTAGCCCGCAGCTTCAAGGGGTCATCAGCCCACCTCCAGGAAGAAGCTGACCAGGTAGGGGTCCTGCTTCAGCTTAGCACAGACAATGCAGAGGAACTGAATCTCCTCATTCTCTGTGGGGGCTGCCAGTACCTCTCCACACAGGCGCACCAATTTCTGTTGGGGGGGGGAGGGGGGGCAGACACACAATTCAACCAAAAATAGAAGCAGATGAAAGAATGGGGCCCAAGCTGCTGTGTGGGACCTCCTGCAGGAGCCAGCCTCACCTGCACCGGCCTGTGCACGTTGATGTGAGGGAGGAGCGGCTGGCGAATCCGCCCCAGTAGCTTGGTGTAGAAGCCCAGCACCTGCTGCTTCATTCCTGGGGGGCACTGGATGGGGCAGAGGCACAGGACACAGTGTGGCCGACAGCACGGATACCCCCCACCCCCCGAGCGCACACAGGGCACACGCAGGCTCCTCACATCAGCCTTGCCCAGCGTGTACAGGGTCTCCAGAATCTTGTGGTGTAGAAGGTACTCCATGCAGGGTCCAGTCTCCCCAGATTCCCGTTCGCCCTCCTCCTGGGTCAGGATGTCCAGCATCTGCTCCAGGTGGGACGGGATGTTGGTGTCCGTCACGGGGGCCTTGTCATCTGCCCAAACAGCGGCAACATGACTGAAGGGCGAACTTAACCTGAGAGACACCTGGTGGCATCTTTAAAACCCGCCATCACAGTGCGATGCGGTCACCATCTCCAGAGCCATGTTGTAATGGCGGCCCAGGGGCCCGGGGTGTCTTACCTGACGTCTCTATGTAGTAATGAGTGATGGCCTTCCAGTGGTACACAAAATCCTCCTGCAGAGGCAAGGAGGGCGCAAGCTGCAAACACAAAAGGGAAGCCAGTCACCTTCCACCCTGCGTGTCACCTCACCTCCTGTCCCCCCATCCTGAGGGACTGGGCTGCATAGCTGCACACATACATGCTATCTTCTGGGGCTGGTGCTTTCAGTGACAGCAATGCACAAATGACGGGCAATGTGCTTTGCGCTGTGCTGACCTTACTTGAGGAGCCGAACCATGCACCTCAAACCGCACATCACCCCTACAGGAATGTCTTAATACAGGAAGCGGGTCATCCCTGGCCTGTTTATGGAAATCTTTCATTTTAACTTCGACCAGGATGCCTGTCCGGATCTGAGCAGGAGAGAGTGAAGGCTCGACGACCAGGCTCGAGTCCCGTACCGGCCGACGCCGACATCCTACGCGTCTGGTCGGGGTAAACGTGACCCAGATCGCCGTAAGAGAGTCAGGACGGCCCCGGGTGACGACCCTTAAAATTATCTGGAAAGCCTCTGACACCCAAACAGCGGCTCCTATGTAATATGTACTATCCACGTAGATCCATATTTAGTAACAATCCGCCGGCTACAGCGCCGATTAAGGGCAGTTAGCCGGCGACCCGACCGCTTAGCATCTTCGGCTAGGGAGGCCCATTCGTCCTCGGTCTCGCCTGACACCACGGCCGTGGCTAGGCGCTTCCTTCCCCTCTGCGGCGGTTTTCCTTACCGCCTCGACTGCGTGCTGAAGGATGGAGGTGAACTTGGAGAACATTTTGTTTTTGGACTGAAGCAGCTTCTCCCGAGAAGACCGAGAGAGCTCCTCTATCTTCCGTCGGTTGCTGCCGCCTCGATCCAGATTGAAGCTTTCATAAATGTACACTTATCCCTTAAAAATAATAATAGTAAAACTCAACGAGCTAATACGAGCGCGTAAAAGCAGACGGGTCGACTCGGGCGCCCCTCAGCACTACGTAAACATCGCAGCGACTGCTAAGCTGCTAGCCCGCTAACAGGGACACCGTGGCACTTGCAAGTCCAGTCTGACTGGGACGCGGAGAGGCGTCCCTACCGCCGCCTAGCGGCGAGATGGTGCAACGGCCAAAACGTTCTTGTGAGGTTTATCTGAAATGACGCTTAATTTGCCGTTTATACAAGTACGGGTACATTGGATTGCTGTAGATGTAGTAGATCCCATCTTCTATCCTTGGAAATATACGCACACACACGTACAATTCAGTGGAATCCGATCACAGGCACCGAGGCCTGTGTCATAGACCGCTCTCTGTCTCTGTAAAAACCTCATTTTGGGGGGAAAAAGACACACAGTACAACTGTGAAATTCCCACTATTTCACTCTCACTAAGCTGCCCAGTCACTAAACCCAGTCAATGTTCTACTGTGGGGAAAAAGCCCATTGTAGCTATACATATTATCCCAGTTAAATATTCAGTTTTTCTACAAAAAAAAACTCTGTGAAATACCCAGTTTCGCTATAAATATTGTGGTGATTGAAATGATCCTCCATTTGCCAAGTACATTGAAATGCATCTGTACTCATATCCCCTCTTACTGTCCTAGACATGCACACATAAATTGCAGAGTGAAGTTTGGGGTTCAAGGCCAGATTTGGGTCATTTATTCAGCATTCCTGGGGCATTTTGGAGAATTAAGGGGCAGGCTTGCAGGGCCAACAGAGATGTCACAATTCTGCTGAGGCCAGGGTGAAGACCAATGACCTTCCAATCAGAAGCACAGAGGCTAAACTCACTGAGCCATACATGTGAATACCTGAACTGTGCATTCCTCACTGTTTTAATGTGAAAACCACATGCAGAGTGAAAAATAACACACTGTGTATTCCCCAAACCCTGACCATTAACACACTGTGAATTCCCCAAACCCCGTCCAATAACATACTGTGAATTTTCCAAACTCTGTCGAGTAGCACACTGCAAATTTTTCAAGCCCCGTCCAATAACACACTCTGAAATTTCCAAACCCTTTTCATTAACACACTGTGAATTCCCCAAACCCTGCCCATTAACACACTGTGAATTCCCCAAACTCTGTCCATTTTTAATCTGAAGCTGTCAATTTAGGGCACCATAGTATCTCAATGTACAGTTGTGGAAAATATTAAGAGACCACTCTATATTTTTAAACAAATCTCCATTTTAAAATCCTCATTTAATTGTGGTGTGCTGGCAGAAGGCTATGCTGAGCCACAGGCTGCTTCCAGGTTCAAAGTTTCTAAGACAGCAGGACACAACAACAAGGTGAATCAGGAGAAACTGGTAACAACCAGAATCCAGCCAGGTACAGGTGGAAGCAACAGTCTAATGCCAGAGGTGACTGTTAACTTATCTGACAGTTTCTCATGAATCATAGGATGACATCAAATGACCTTAAAAAGGAATGGGAAACATTAAGTGCAGGTGTGAGGTGCACTGCTAGGAGAGTTCACATCAGGCTTCTAGAAGCAGGACTGAGCTTCCATAAATAAAGGAAGAAGCCCTTCATTAATGAGAAACAGAAAAGAACCAGGCTACAGTTTGCAAAAAAAAAAAATATATATTATTCTCAGACACACACCAGTAAACAAAAAATTGCACAGTGGCTTCTTAATTTTTTCCACGGCTGTATATCATGCCACATGTTAAGTGACGCTTTGTCTTTCGATGTGGAGTCACAAAGTCCTTATTGGACATATCTGCCTCCTATTATCTCATATTATATCTTGGCTGTCATAAATGATGACTCCACTGCAGTAATGAGGTAACTTCATTGATCAGGCTTAGGCAGTGACTTCACAGGGCTCTCTGACAGAGGAGTCATTGATACTTATTGCGGATGCAGCTTCTCTTTTTCCACACCAGTGATCACAGCTCTCTAACGGTATGAAATGCATGAGCATTATTTGACATTATGGCAGCGCAACATGGTCCTTAATAGGAGCTGCAGTGCAAAAAGGGATGGATGATCCCCCTAACAAACACACTGATTATGCACTTTTGTAATTAACGAACTAGCAGCAAACTGGATGTCGTCTCACCCAAAGACAGGAGATGCCCCCTTTGGCAGGTAGCCATGGAGAGTGTGAACTGTGAGCGGCAGAGGTGGTCAGGCCCTGTCAGCCTGCCTCTTTGCCTGTCAATGACCCTCCCCAGGAGACAGTCGGGGAGAAACGGCGAGGGCAGGGCGAGGTGTCTTCCGCTGTCAAACATGCTGCTATGAAATGATCAGCCCATGGTATTTGTATTAGCGTAGTATGATACAGTGTAAGCAGGGGCATAGGAACACCCGTGGGGGTGTACTCCCCACCCGCCCACAATCTGCATGTTTTGATAACTGGTGAATTTCAGGGAAGTAAAACACTTTGGCAACAAATGCATTGAAATGAGTTTTTGTTTTTTCTGTCTGTGCACTGAGGAACCAAAACAATATGACCAATATATATATATATATATTCCCTAATCCAGGATGCAAAGGGCCCCCTACACAGGATGCCAGTCCATCACAAGGCACAGACTCGCATACATCTTGCCCGTTTAATAGTTTCCTCTTACCGCGCTTTTACTATTTTTTGTATTAAGAATGCCTTGGGTTTTTTTTTTTAGAAGTTTACATGTTTTGCCAGATGGTGGCGCTGTAGTCAAACCTTTATTTTTAATAATGGTCAGCCAAGAGGGATGATTAAATTCAGCACACACAATAAATAAATCTTCACTAAAGGCATAAATTTGAACATTATCTCAGAGAAATGATGCCGTTATGGAGTGGTTCAGATTAGAATGATTGAATCCGCAAAGCCAGCAGGTCACTTGAGATTTAAACCATCAAACCCAAACAGAGATTGTATCATTGGCTTATGCTTCTACATTTCGCACTTCAGATGGTCCAGTATGTTTTGGGCTTCTGACCGACAGATAAGGTGTAACAAGCCAGTTCCCTGTTGCGCTGACAAGGTGGGAGGGTGGAGTGGGACTTTAACTGGTTAGCTTCAAGCAGATTGTCGATCTGAGTGGCAAAAGGTTCAGTGCAACAACGAAAAGCTGGTTTGCCGGTTGTGGCCAATAGTCTTAAGATCTATACCAGGACAGAGCGTCACAATTAAGTACTTTATATTGTTAGCCTAGAGCTCACTAAATCTTTTCATAGAAGACTTATTTGATTTATGGTTTTCTTATGGTATTTGCTTTGTTGCGTGATTGAAACTTTTAAATGCAGCACATATCTCTTTATCCCACTCTGCAAAACATTAATCTTTCTAGGTGTGTGTATTTGTGTGTGTTTATTTCCATGGCATCGGGGATACGTACATCAGCCAATGAGCCATTGTATTTGGCCACGTCACAGGAAACACGGTGACTGGCCTAGAGCAAGAATACTCAATTTTTGAGAGTAATAAATACGCATAAATACGGACGTTTAATTTACAGTCCTGTCATGGCACTACTTTCCCTTTTTGTGTGCTATTAAATGGAGATGTATCTGATCAAACAGTAATTATCAACAAAAACTATACAATGACCTGAAGAACAGCCGTTTCAATTGTTTTCAGCGAATAGTCGGCTGTCAAAGTAGCAATATATATTACATGATGTGAAGCAGCGTGCATCGAACAGCTCCGCCCACACAGGACACACCCCGGTCACGTTTCTCTAAGCCTCGCCATTTAGAGTCACGCGCACCTCGCGTTTCTTTCCCTCGGCCACGTACGAGCCCCTCCCAAACCCACCTTCCCGGCTATATACTGCGTCTCTTATCAAGCAACGCCCCACAACTATTTAAGCCCCGACCCCAAAATACGCTCCCAAACCCTCCTCGCCGGCTGTCTTCTCTGCTATTTGACAGGCACCACCCACTATATTTTAATCCCCGCCCATAAAGGACACCGCCCGAATAAATAACTGCTGCTCCGACGAGGCCCCGCCCCTATGTCTTTTTCAGCCCCGCCCCAAATAGGACATTGCCTACCGCGTCTCTTTCTGCTCCGCCTCCTACGTAATACGCCCAGCCCTCGGCTCCGCTCTGCCCCTCGTCCTCCCCTTTCCCTCATCACTGAGCATAGACGTGCCGTCCTGCTTTAATTCATTACAGCGATCGGACGACGCGTCCTTCGTTGCACTGTTTGGAAACCTATTTGGATAATATTTTTAGGCGACGTTCTTTTTTTTTTTTTGAGGGGGTGAAAAAGCAGCGTCTGTGTGAGACATGTCTGCGAGAGGTGAGTGTCGATGGGCATTCTTTGCACTGCGGTGTGCGACGCTCGAGCCTGCGGTAGCCGATAGAAATAAATCTGGTTTATTTGAGCATTGACGCTGTTCTTTTGCGCGGCCTTTGCCTTGACGCTGATTTTAGGGTGTGTGTGTGTATGCTCGTGTGTGTGTGTGTGTGTATGCTCGTGTGTGTGTGTGTGTGTATGCGCGCGCGGCGCGTGTGTGTGTGTGTATGCGCGCGTTTGCTCCTCATGGGCTTCAGTGTGCTCCGCAGCAGACCTCTGTGTTCGTCTGTGTTTTCTTCTCCGTCACCCGTGGTTGTCACCCGTGGCTGTCACTCGAAGCTGTCACGCGTAGCAGTCACGGGTCTGTTCTAGGTTGCTCCAGCTGTTTGAGGTATGCGAATAACTGCTATGTATTATATAAACCGCCCTAGTTAGTTTATGGTTCATCCCCGTGCCGTAGAGCCGTTCATTATGCGGCTTCCTCTTCTTATAGCCCCATTTTCCTGCTATCCCTCTGCGCTGGAGCTCCCCCGTTTGGCCCGTGCTGTTGCCGTCTCTGCGTGCGGCCATTGGGAAATACGGGCCGGCTCGCCTGACAGGATTAGTGTATGCGTTCACACGGGCTTTTGTGCCCCGCCAGCATCGCCTGCTCATTCTTCTTTTCATCCGGACGGTTGAATAACATGTTGACTCGGCATTTGTGAGGTGCGCCTGAGGCACGTAAGGGATTTACGTGGAACCAGGAGGCTGCAGGATCGCATCCCAACACTGTCACACAAGGGGAAAGGGCTCTCAGTTGAAAAGTTGTGATAAAATCTGAAATTTTACCACACAACTTCTTCTGAGTTTTGC